CAATATCGTCGACATAGACGATAAGGATCAATTTTGTCACTAGAGGAATGTCGAAAAAAGAGAGTATAATTTGATTTGGTCTGTCAAAAATTATGACCCATTACCACCTTTGCGAACATATTGAACCAGACCCTTGGGATTGCTTCAGTCCGTAGAGAGACTTCTATAGTCGACACACTTATCTCTGGGGAACAGTAGAGTCAAAACCAGAAGGGAGGCACATATACACCTTCTTTGTGACATCCCCATTTAGGAAAGCATTTTTAACATTCAGTTGCAGCAAAGACAAGTCCAAATTTACAGCAAAGAAAAGTAGAACCCAAATAGTGTTTAATTTAGCAACCGAAGCAAATGTTTCCTCATAATCAACTCTGTATGTCTGTGAGTAGCCTTTGGACTTAACTGTGCCTTGTTGCATTCAAACAATCTATTAAAGTTAAACTTGGTGCAAAAAATCCAACGACACTACTGTTTTCTCACGCGGAGGAAGATCTGCAATATTCTATGTATGATTCCGTTGAAGGACATTCATTTCATTCATTACTGCAGCTTTCCAGGAAGGGTCAGCTAATGTTGCTTCAATATTGGATGGGGAATGATAATCCATCAGGGCAAAAACAAACGCTTTATAGCTCGGCGATACTGTAGAAAGAGATATACTCCTCATTCAGAGTGGTGTCAATTCTGGAAAAGTCACTCAGAGCGAATTCCAGATCTTGTAAAGAGTTAGCGGGTTCCAAAGTGGGACCATGAGTGCGTCAAGTATAGAATGGGAGGAGGTTTTGGTTGTTTGGTAGGTTGTGCATCCAAAGCAACAGAGGGCTCCTTGGATATAGTAGTAGGAGAAATATCCACATAGATCGAATAAGAAATAGTGTCTAAGAAATCAAGCTCCCCGTCATTTGAGAAAGTGACCGGAAAGTAGGGAAAACTTTCAAAAAAAGAAAATATCTGCACTTACATAGAGTTTATTTGTGGTAGGATCAAAACATCGATAGCTTTTTGAGTGGCAGAATATCCGAGAAGGACACATTTTATGGATTCTAGGATCAAGCTTACTATGATTAGGAGTTGTTTTTTGAATAAAGGCAGTGCATCCAAAAATTTTGGGTTCAAGGGTGGTGAAGAACCGATTTGTTGAGAAACATGACATCAAGATGACTAATGGAGTTCTAAAGTAATGAATTTTTGTGAAAATTATATTGATGAGATATGTGGCAGTAAGCCCACCATCATTCAAAAATCTTTTCAGGAAATTAGATTAAAACAAAATGGAGTGAGCTACTTCGAGAATGTGTCAATTTTTTCTCTCAGCTACTCCATTTTGCTTAGGAGTGTCCGTAAATGAATGAATGATCAATGGACTAGAAAAAGAAGTGAGTGTCATAGGGGTGACACATTAGCGAGTGTGGGAGGTTGATGGTCCAAAAGATTCTGTTGTTGTAGTGAGACCCTAGGCAGAGGAGGATTTGGTTGAGTGTTTGTATGTCAGTTTCCCATGGATTTTTCAACACTTGTCTTGACTATGATTGGATTTGTGACAATAATCACAAGTGCCTTGAGGAGGAATGAAAGATGTTGAGTACTATTAGTAGATGAGTCTACCATGATTCCAACAAAGCCAAATGTGACGTTGGGTTGATGAGACATAGGAATGCCTTGGAACCTGAACAGAGGAAGACCCAACGACAAAAATAAGGCAGCAAAAACTCTGGCTGGCTAGAGAAAGCTCAGGTTGGCAGAAAGGAATCTCAACGGCTGGAACAGGCGGTAGAAGCAACAAGGAGGCCAACCAACCTATTTTTTGCAACATAAAGAATCACAGCGGCTGGAACAGACTAGCAGACGCAACGGAGGCAACCCAACCTATTTTCTACAGCTGGAACAAGCTGGCAAAAGCGTGGGAACAGTTTTACAATAGCAAGGAGGCGCAGCAGATGCAAAGGCAGCAATCCTATCTATTTTTTTGTGGCTGGAACAGGCCGGAAGAAGCAAGTAGGCGCAGTAAAGAAGCGCCTGCAGGCACTAGAGCTAATCCTGGAAGCAGAAAACCTGTTGGGAGAGCCTTACAGCTGGTGGGCGGCAGCTAGGTTAGAGGCTCTAGGATTAGAACTTTTCTCTGATACTATGTTAAATTTAGAGAATTGTATGGCATGCTTTTATTGATAGGAAGAGAGGTATAAATACATATTACAAGATCTTAATAAAAGAAAGACATTAATTCAGAAATAGACCAACTAGAAATACATAACTATAGAAATAGAAATAATGGAAACAAATAAAATCAACCAAAAGCTAATAATAACTACAACAGTAATTAGCCTAATCATTAGGTTAATAATTCTAATAGTTATTATAGCAAAAGCTAAACTGAACTATGAAATTTGAAAAAAAAAAAATTATTTTAACACAAAGTCGAGTGTATAGTGCTATGATGTGATGTGGCTAAATAGTGCAAGGTGCATAATTGGATGCTAGCTTGTGCATAGAAGGCAAGCAATGTGTTGGGACACCACTTGCTTTTATTTCAGTCCTAAAGAGCACTTTTAATTACACTACCTCTAATTATGTAATTGTGATATAGATTTTCAATAGCCTTGAACCAGATTTCACCTCTATCATTAGGTTTTATGAGCCTACCATAGCAATGTGAAACTTTCTCCTTTCCATATATTGTCGAGGTAACAATATTTATCAGGTATACACTCTTTACTCTAAATTATTATCTTTTGAATAAGAAAAAAATTTTCTTTGGAACTTTAACAACATATTGAAAAAAATGGGATGGACTTTTTCATTATCATATTTTTATTGCAAACCATGTTAGTTATAAAAAAAATGAAAAAATTATTGTTTTCAAGTTCATCTACTTCCTTCATTCCTCCCTACAATCTATCTCAGCTCAATTGATGGTAGGCTTTGTTGTCCTGAATATCACTACTACTCCCTCTCATGTTTTTCAAGTTAACAAGTTATCTGCTTTGTTTCTCTTATGAGTGTGATCATAATGCTCTTTCCATTAGAACAAGGGATGTTAACAGTTCTTGTGAACAAGGTGTTTTGCTCTTTCCATTAGAGCAAGGGATGTTAATAGTTCTTGTGAACAAGGTGTTTGTAAAGGTAGTCGTTATTATGGTCATAACTCATTCCCATCATCAAGATTGTCAACGGAAAAAGCACTCACTCTATCATTATTTAGAGAAACTTGGCTATCCTTCTATAGCTCAGCATGTCTCTGCCTTGTTACCATCAGTCCCAATTGTATTTAATGCTTTGTCAAAGTTTTCCTAGAGGCTTATGATCATCTTCTTCACTACTCTTAGCTACCCACCTCGCCCCTCTCATATTATGTCTTCCTTCAGTTTTATTGCACTTTAAAAAAGATAATGTACATATTCTAGCACATCTTGGGTTCTAGATTCCATTGTATTTTCTTATACAAAGATAATTTACACTATTTTCATCTACCATGAGCATTCTCCCACATATTATTTTATCAATTGATCTTCTTCTCTAATCTCTAGAATAAGATTTATCCATCCTTCCTCTTCCTTATACTTAGACAATGCTTAATATGCATCATAGTTTGAAGTTAACCTTCTATCCATCTATTCTCTAACTGAAACTCACAACTCTTTGGTAACCTTCTATTCTTCTAATTGTATCTTCCAAAATCTCAGCATGAAAAAGAAAATTTGAGATGTAAAAGTTGAAGATATATATTAGCACACTGATGAATTTTCAATGCATTTTCATCATTTCCCCAAATTTTCATCAAGTTCCCCTCCTCCGTAGCATCTTCAATCCTTCATTTATGCACCATCCTCATTTTACAAAACTACTACGCTAAAAAGCAACGATCAAGAGGTACCTAAAAATGCAGCATAGCTTCTTACTAAAAAATGAACAGTATCAGAATAGATGAACATAAAAGCAAATAGACAAAAATACCTGAATAAATTACAAATAATTATGCAACCAAATAGAAAAGAGAGATAATTATATAGGTCCAATATACTCTATCTAGAAATAAATAATGTGTCTTAGAGACAAATTTTCTTCATAAGCCGTACTTGAATTACTTCTAAATGAAAATCTCAACTAGATCTATGAGAATGTATTGCACACGTTATTTTAATTCTGCAATATTAGAGAAACTATTTGGGCATTGTTTGGTTTGCTAAAAAAAGAATACTGTGTAAAAGTAATGTAATATATTTGAAATATTTTGATTCAATATAAAATAAATGCATGACTTTACATTTTTTTATTTGGTTTGAAGAAAAATAAAATCGATTTAAAATAAGTGGTCCACGGGGGCCCAGACAACGGATGTCAGCGAAGGGCTGGAAACAATAAAGAGTTGATGGGGGACAATAATGACAGCGGTGATGGATGCAAGTGACGGCGACGATGAGCAATACTTTGTATAGAGTGGTGTATTTGAAATTCACCTAAATACATTAAAAAAGAACTAGAGAATTAATTTCAAATTAATTACAAATGTATTATAACTTTGCACTGCATTTGAAATTCATTTGAGCAAACACATTGATTTTTTAAACTCCCCCAAAAGAATTTCAGTGCACTCATTTTGAACAAACTAAACATCCTCTTATTGATTTTGAGAGATCTTTCGGCATTAAGATATTTTGTAATGTGTTAGAATTTCATGCAATAAATTCTATTAGTTTAGAATCATTCCATGTTACCACTATAAATAGAATTTTAAAATGGATGATTTAGCACCACCCTGCAACCACAAGCAAATAAAGGAAAAAGAGAATGCAAATTCAAAGATATTGCCAACCGAGATAATAAAGGGATGAACATTTTAGGTGCTTGAAATTGGGACGTAAGTCTCCCACTTCATCAATAAGAATGAGGTATTCTTGGTTTCGGTTACCTGAAAAGGAGAAGTTTTTGGCTATTGCAAAAGAAGCTTTCACTTGGGCTCTTGCAGCAAATAAAAGAAAAGAAATTAGTCGCAACAACAACTTCTTCTCCACAACTTGCCATCATCTTCACAAAGTGATATCTTTGTTCTTAACTCCAACTTTGTGTGAAGGCTAATCTCCTCTTCTATTCTTTTTAAAGATAACTGAATTATTCTATCTCTATACTGCCAAGCCATAGGTGGATCTCATAAAACCACATAACTATGTGTATTCTCATCAATTTTTTTTTTCCTTTTTTTAAATAACTTCACATCATCATGTGTTTTGCCAGTCGCTATCTATTACCTAACAATAAATTTTCTCAGTGAAACATGCATTGAATTTAACCATGAAGCATAGAAATGAAAAACATGAAAATCAATCATGCTAACAAAAACTAAAAAATACCAGCAATTGCGATGACAAATAATACAGTTTGTATTCAAGAGCTAGCAGGTAAATATAAGCTTCATAGATGCAAGATTTTACTGAAAAACACAGGTATTTTACCTGCAACATCTTGGCCATCATAAATGCCTCGATACACCGTACCATATGTCCCATGTGCTACAACGTACCTTATTTCTAGCTTTGAAAGATCAATCTCCCATTCCTCCTTGGGTCTTCTGGATCCAAGCACATCATTCAACCAAATCTTCGAAAGCTTTTTCTCCAACTGAATATCCAAGTTTTTAAGATCAATCTGATCAGCCCTAAAGAACATATCCCTATTGCTCTGGCTCCCATGTCCTGTCAATTGAGAATTTGATCTTTCCTTAACCTCACCACCAACATCTCCAACACTTCTACAACCCTCTCCTTTCATTGAATCCATTCCTCCAAAAACAATCGAGTTACAGAACAAAAGGATCCATCACAGCTGAATAATGTCCTGCCCTTGAAGGAGGATAGGTTTCCTCCTTTATCTTCCCCGTAGTCAGTTTCCTATCACAAATGCATCATGAGGCCATTATTCCGCAACAATTCGTTTTGAAAAAGTGAAGCAATAATAAAAATCATAAGTTTTCAGCAGAATATGGTGATTGAAAAAGCTCAAATTCCTGACTTTATTCAAAGATGACCTAAACTCAGAAAACCTACAATCTTGATTGACTAATTATTGCGATAAAACTAACATGTGCAAGCGAAAAGGAGAGAGGAGAGATACCAATCCTGTAGAACAGAGCTGGAACCCTGTTGTAGAAATCGAACCAACCATTAGAAAGGAGAAGAGCGAGGAGAAAAGGAGAGAGAGAGAGATTCGGGGTATAAAAAAGGAATTCAGCAACAGCGTAACGGCCAACCAGCAGAAATGCCTTCTAGAAGCAAACGGCGAGGGAAAAGTGGGCATTCCAGGCACGGAAGCAAAGGCGAAAAATATTGTGCAAGAGTGCTCGCACAGTTTTGCATGCATGAGGGTCATCAACTTTAGGTTCTGTACATTTGGCAGGTTCTGATTCGAGCCCAAATGCATCAGGACTTTTGATACAATAATTTCAAGGGAGACAATTAATTGTATAGGGACCACTTGAAACTTCTTATTTACAAAAGAAATTGTCTCTGTCATTCATATTCAAATTCTCACTCAAATATCAAAATTTATGGTAAAACTCCAAATCATATTTTTCATTTCTATCAAATTCTCAATATGTTGATTGTAGCACGCGTAAATACATCGGTTCGGTGTTTCAAAAGAATCACTCGGGAGGTTAATTTGTAAATATCAATATTTTCGGTGTTTGTATGTAATTATCTTTTTTTAATCATTTCATTTATTTAGTTACTAGGAAAAAATATTTGAGAAATATATTATATCTAAGATGTTACATGCAATAATATTATTGTAATAGAACAAGAGTAGAATATAACCTCTTACCTTACATCAACTTCACATGCATTGCAATGTATTCTTCCCCATAGGAAGGTCTTCAACTATTTTTCTAGTGAGTTCTTAAGCTTCACTAATGGGATAAACAACTCTATGTACTTCATCTATAACTTCTTGGTTATCCTCATTTCCTATAGGACATATTTTCACTATAATAAACTAATCATGCTTTATGTGTATAAAATATTGAAGATAAGTTATAACAATTAATGCCTACATTTAGTGCTATAGCCAATGTGTACAGGTCAAGCTTTATGCATATGCATGTTCTCTATCATAAAACAACAGAGCCTATAAGGTTTAATTTAGTACATACAATTCAAATTGTTGCTTTACAAAGCCTTAGTTGTTGCTTTTATAAGCCTTTCTCAAACCGATTTTTATATCATTCGCGGTGTGGGACTAAAATGCATGAGATAGCATGTCCTTTGTATATCCTTCTTCCCGATTTCGTACTTGCCAGTTTAACTTGCTTGCTCCTCTAAGCTTTATTTAGGGACATTAACACACATACTGCCTAAATTTTATGTGTTTACATATCTGCAGCTAAACTTATATTTTTTTATAAACATACCACCCAAATAATTTTTTTAAGAAAATAAATTTTTATATTTATTTAATAAATATAAAAAATAATATAAAATGATATAAGTAAATATTATTATTTAAATGTTTAGTTGTTTAAGTATTTATAGTCAAAATGAGCCGAACACGACGAAGTAACTTTTGTTTGTGTTTAGCTCCTCTATAAATCGAGTTCAAAACAATTGTTTATGTTCGGCTCGCTTGCTTAACAAACAAATCAAACATGAACTACTTAATGAACCGAACACGAGTTGTTTGAGAACAACAAGCTTCTTTGACTACCCTATATAGAAGTATGCACAATTGATGATATTATTGAATCTCTCTTAAAAATCAATTATCATCAAATTGCATCCTTTTTTAGAGATGTAAGCACTTGCATACCACTCAATGCTAGATTAATTCTCTAGATAAAATGTAATGGCTAGAATTTTGATGTATTATATATCAAAGTACCTACAAAATTAACTCTTCTGTAAGCTTTGAAACTTGTCTATGTTCATGTAAGCAACTATCAATACTGAACTTTTTTTATTAGGATATGACAAATGTAAGCTATGTTATGTGCCTCTAGAATGATAGTTAATAAAGCATGAGCAATATTTATATATCCATCGAAGATGAAAACCAAATTTTCCATTTGCCCTGTTATTGAGCCTTTCAATCAGGCCATAAAAATGCATCCATGACTCATAATTTTTTTTTTAAACACTGCAAATGCCATATGATAAAATTTAGTGTTAATATCATGCACTACATCCACGAGCAAAGTACCTCTACATTATGTATTTAGAAATATTTTGTCCACAATTAACAATAGATCATATGCACTTTCAATGCCTTAAAACAACAAAAGAAGTAAACATATCCTTCACTATGTCATGTTGAAGATCAATAATTATTCTTATATTTTTTATATGTTGCATACTAGATAAGATGATAAATTCTTAAGAAAAAAAACCTCTAGGAGAGCCCTTTATATAGATGATGGCTTCCACATCATACCACCAAGCCTTCGTATAAGTTAAATTAATGATGTGTTCTCTCTTAATTTAGGATATGATCACTTTTGGCTCAAGGTTAAGACCAGACCAAAAAAAAAACTCTTCTTGTTTATATGTTTAATGAGTTATGATTGGGTTTATCATCAATTATTGATCTAACCACTAAAGTATAATTGTTTTAGATTCATTGTTATGCTTTCAATAAATTCAAAATTTTTAACATAGTGACTAGCAAGCTTCATGAACAATTCTTTCCATTGCAATGGATACACCAAACATCTTTACCCAATCTCTTTCTTGAATTGAAAGCTCTTATCTTAATATATAGATGTAAAATTTTTTTTAACCTTTCTTTTATCTCAAAAATGTCATTTTTAAATGCATTCAAAACAAATTCAAGTATAATGAAAACCCATAGATATTATTATATTTAGTAAACCATCATAATACTCTAAAATTTTTGTTTGATTTGAGTTTGTGTTTATATATCTAAGTTTAACTAATGTGTGCCCAAAGGTATATTCTAACTTTTGTTAATACTTTTGAGCTTTGGATAGCTATACAAAAAGATTGATCAAGTATAGTGATATCATTCTCATAAATTATGATTAAAATAGAATTGATCTATAATGTTTAAGTTTATATTTTGGATTTGTTTTAAGTCTAATTTGTAATACATTTTTATTATATTTCAGAGCATTCAACTCACTAGTTATTTTATTGATTTTTTTTTCTTATCTTATGAGAATTGTGGGAATAAAAATATGAAGTTATTTAACTTAATCTTTTTTTAAAAAAAACTTACATGTGTTCATACAGATGGGTCTTTTGTGGCAGTCTAGCCTATGTTTTGCAAATTCTTTTTACCAAAGTGCTCCAATTATTTTTTTAATATTTAATATAATTTTTTTTCATAATGTTTAGAATTAATTATCTATGGAATTGATAAGTTAATATAAAAGATTCAATAAAACTGAAACAATTTATATAATTATCATAGTATTTATTTTTATAAATTTATAAAAAGATTTTTAATATAAATATATAAACCAAACCCACTCATTTCCATGTCCTTATTCAATTTCTTCGCCATGAAGCATCCTATAAAGAGAGAGTGAGATAAAAAAGAGGAAGAGGAGAGATAAAATACATTTTAAAGATCAAAGAACTCGTTTTGTCCATCTACCCAATTAAAAAAATTGTTTGACTTAAGGCAGGCTACTCATATTGTATTTATTTTTTTATAATTTAATTTTTAATGAATTTTTCGTATTCAGTCTCGAGAAATTTTACAAAAATTAAATATCTCAATTTTCAAATAATTTTAACTATGTGACTTTAATTATGTTAGTATTTTGCATATATTGGTATAATCATACGAGTTTTCACTTAGTATTTTAAATTATGTAATTATTTGGGCTTTTGAAAAGCTTTTATATGTTGATAAATTTTGTTATGGTATGTCAGGAACATTGTACTAATCTTTTAAATATTGCTTATAATCACTTTTTGTGATTCATGCACACTGAATCATGTAAATTGACGGATCACGTAAAGTTTATTATTTTATCATGTTTTGAAAATTTTTACTAAGTGAAAGATTGATTTGTTGTGATAGAAATGGTATGCTAAAATATATTTTTTTGTATTAATATAGATATATATATATATATATAGAGATATAGATATAGATATATATATATATATATAGATATAGATATATACACATACATACATATATAACACTAAATTTTGTACACCACACATAATATAACAAAATATTTTTTTAATATTAAAAATTGAGGATGAGTTTTGTATAACCTAATGAGTTTTTAACACTGATCTCTTTTTTTTGTATATGTATTGAATTTATAGAGGAAAAAAGGGAAGGAATGGGTTGATTAGAGGTAGAGGGTATAGGCTTTTATTTATCAATATGTTATTTATTATATTATAGTAATATCTCTTCTCAATCATGGTGATTTTTTTTTAATGAATGGAGTGATGTGTACCATGATAGTTGTATGTGAACTTTTATAATTGTATAGTTTATCATATAATCTAAAGGGATATTGATGATTTCTATTTCATAACATATTTGGTGATGTTAGTGGTGTTAGTGTGTGTGTGTGTTGTATCTTTTTAAAACATAGAGTTCCTTATAGTTTTTGGATTTATATAATTGGGTAGAGAATTTGTGAGAAGAGAAGTGGTAGAGAGATATTGAGTTCCAGCTTGTGTATGTTACTCCTAATGCACCCACACCCACCCACATTTTTTTTACTTGAGGGAGTAAGGACCCTTCTATTTATGTGCCTCGTAGGGGGTCATTACCCTCATAAGGTTACAAAAAAATAAATAAATGTTATATTATAGGCCACATTGTACTAAGCATATATGAAATTTGTTGTTAAAAAAAATATCTCCATGGGTGCCAAGCATCTCATAAATGGTCTTAGAAAGTTATAGGTTAGAGTTTCCTTTTGTTTACTATTCAAGTAATCTTGAAAGATAGGTAAATGATCTCAACGGTGAAGCTTGAGAAATGCAGGTGAGCTCGACAAACAAACTTTATGTATACATGTGAGCTTGGCAGAGGAGCTCGAAGTATACATGCGAGCTCGGTGAACAAAATTGATGTATACAAAGGAGCTCAATGTATACATGAGAGCTCAACGAAGGATCTCAACGCATACAGTCGAGCTCGACAGAGTAGCTCGATAAGTATGTGTGAGCTTAGCGAACGAGCTCGTCGGTCCTTTTGAGCAGTAATTCTTGTAGCTATCACTTTGATGAATGTGATTGGTGTATATGATGCACTAGTTATAAGCTCTAGGTACATGATAATATTTACATTTCAAAAAGGGTCTGATCTAATAGGGCCACATGACCCATTAACA